CATATATGCAGGAAAGTTACTGATGGAATTAAAAGAATTATCCTGTAATTTTCCACTTGGTAGCTCTCCCAAATTTAGATTTAAATCACTAGACTTCTTAACTTATATCATCTTTGTTTGAAAATTTTTTTGTAGACTATATAACAATAAATTATCTTGTAGTGAGCTTAGTTAATTGATAGTAACAATTCATAATTGTTCAAGCATTTGTTGTTAAATGTCCAAAGTTATTTCCTTCATCAGAAGATAGGTACATTAAGTTTTGGCTTTAACTGTATTAGCTAATAGAGTTGCAGGACCCAGACTGAAAAAACATGCAATAATATTTTCAATCCAACTTCAACACAAAGAATGAGAATTTGTCTCAAAAGCAAATAACCTTGTCCACATGGGAGAATATTTTATGCAAGATAGTGCAAGCTGCACAGCTATAAAACCAGAGGTGTCATTTCTACAATGTGAATTTTGAAAGTCAAGGGCACTTTAAAGACACATACCCAGTCCCCTTGTCTGCCATAAGCTGGATTGCTCAGCAGTAGAGATTCAAAGATCTGTACTAATACCACAAATCACTGGCATGGGAAGATATACAAAATAGAGATCTCAAGGTTTTGCAGTTGTAAATAACAGCACTGAACAAAGTGACAAAAAACAGCAAAAAGTAATGAATTTAAAGATTAATTTGTTTTTTCTGTCTTAAAATGTTTGTGTATATTTTAAGATTCCTAGTTGAAGAGAAATAAGATGGACTTAATTTTCTTGTGTTAGCATTTAGCAATATCTCCAGCAAATGTTTTGCCTCTTCTAAGGTACACATTTTTTAAAGAAATAGAAATTAATTTTATTTTTAAGTGGTTTATTCCTGAAAATGCAGTAAGTTTAATATTACTTATAGTTTTAGACTTCAACTCATGCCTTTAAACCATTTTATATCATTATTTTGAAAGCAAGAGTTTTATATTCTCATTATTTTATTTTTATACATATAAGCCATTAAATTATACTGTATACATAAATATTAACTTTTCCACTTTCAAGAGATTTTGACATTTTATCATTTTTACGAAACATGAAACTTTCAGTGAATAAACTTTGAAACTCTCTTCTGGCACTCTTGCCCAACCCTTTGGTTTCATTAAGTATTCAAGGGTTAAATTTAACAATTTGTTAGTACGAGATGATAAGCAATACAAATGTTAAATTGGGAAAGAAATGGGAAAAACAAGAGAATACAACATCATTCAAATAATTCCAAAATTTGAGCTTTGCAGTTGTGGCCCAAACTCAAATCAAACATCTACAATGGAAATACATCAATTTCTCCAATGAAAACAGTGACCATCAAGAAAAGTGTCGAAATGGTAGGAAGTACACTGACTTTATCGATGGATGTGTGGTGCTGGAGATACAAATCATAATGTTAAAGATTATGGAGTTAATTTTAAATGTGACTGTACTTCAATATGTTATTACTATCACAAATTTTACACCTCGTTCCAAAAATTTTTGCAAAAAGAAGAATTACTTTAAAAATAATATGTATAATTTCTCTACTGTGATAAACTAAAAGTGTAAAGAAGGGTCAAAATGTATAAATGGTCTTTTGTTATAGGAAGAAAATGTCTAATGGTATTGAGTAAATGGGAGGGGTAGGGGAAAGGTAAAAAGGGCAGAGAAAAATAAGAGAAAAGGAAAAAAATGGAAATAAAGTCTTTGTGAAAGAAAAAGGGTGGAAGGGGGAAAGGAGGTGAGGGGTATGGGGAAAAAATAAGAACTAAGGCCTGTCATGTGAAGGTACAAGATCTTGATGAATGTAACTGCATTGTGTATCTAAAATGTAACAAGAAATATTTTTAAAATGTGAAAGAAATATAAAAATGAATAAAATACATATAAAGGCTATTTAAAAATTGAATTTTATAGTATCAGAAATACTTTTTTAAAATACCTGTACTTTCATGCTTTTTGGTAGTCTAAATTTTTTTATTAACCTGAAACTTTCCCTAAGTTTTTTCTAAAACTTACAGAATTGCAATATTTTGACATATCTGGAAGAATATAATCTTTTAAATTGCAATTTCCAATGTTACTCCCTTTCTAATTTTTACAAAAAGTCCATTCTTTTTGTTTCTGTGTTTGTGGTGCTTAAGACTGAACCCAGGGCCTTTTGTATGCTCGGCAAACTCTCTAACACTGAGATATATCCCTGGTATTTAAAACTATATTTTTGTGAGCTCTTTTTAATTAACATCATTAATATAATACTAACAATTGAAATTACAGCACAGAAATTATATGAACTATATGTATGGGCATTTAATGAACATAATTAGAGTCGTTCTTAATTTAAATTAATACAATTCTTTTTATCTACATTTTCTGCTTGGATATCCACTTTTGAATACAGCTAAAATACTCCAAAATTCCATTAAATTTTGAGAAATGGAATAAAGCTTTGCAGAAGAGAAAAGGAAATTGCTGAATTAAGATTTCAGACCTAAGAATTGTATTGGAATAGTAATTGTCCTTCCTTTTTCTGGTTTCCTGCCAGAAGAATTCATTTAGTCAACAGCCTGTAACATTCTAATAATGTGAAACTTCTTCAAGAGACAGGAAAGGATAACAAATTTGACAAAAATAACAAATACAAATTTTGCCTTGCTAATCATGTCTCTCAAAAATATATATTTCTTTAACTTGTTTTTAGGAATCATCACTCCACCTTACACACATATATAAAATTGTGCAGGATCATTTTATTATCGCTAATGAAAATTTCTCTTGAATTTGAAATACATTAGATTCAGGCATGTGAATTATAATCACAAAATGAGTTCAAGATTCAACATTATAATGCTTCCAAAACAGCATTATGAAATTCACCTGACATCCATATTTAAGTAGAAAAACTTTTAGAGATTTTTCTGTTTTAACATTCTTGCAAGTATACACACATTCACACACAGAATTTGTCTTTCTTTTGCAGTTTATTTCTGTGAAAAGATTTACTAAAGACATGGATATCCTTTGAGTAACTAGATGTCCCAATGGAAGAGTTCTGTTTCATAAATTCATACTAAGAAAAAAATGCTCTAAAATCCATTATAGCATTAGAAAGAAATTCAGTAATGATGGTTATCTCTTGGGGACCAAAGATTCTGAGCAGAGATAAAGGTAAGAACAGGAAAAAAAGTAAGAATTTGAGAAGAGAAAGGGAAATAAAAATAATGGGAAAAAGAAAAAATTCCATCTAACAGAATTTTTATATTTTAACTCTTAAAAATAATCTCTTCCATGGAATATCACTGACATGAGTCTACTTATTTCTAGGTCTCTTTGCTGAATGTGGATAGCTCAGAGCTTGACCTATGTATATTTTTTCCAAAAATCAACTTGAATCTTTCCGTTGTAAAAGATATTTGACAAATATCAACCTTTTTGGGACACAGGATAAAAATATAAAATTAAATCCTTTATCTTTCAATGCATGCAAAATTTGCTAGAATTGCTTGCATCTGTTGACCACTTGGCCATTATCTAATTATCTTCTTTATGAAGTCTGGAAAATACTTACAAATAGCACTAAGACATATGATATCTTCTCTTTTCTATAGATTTTTTAGATGTACTTCTAGATCTAGACACTCTGGCTACCTTTTACTGTGTATTTCCACTTGTTTCCTAAGTGTGCACTTCAAATTTTTGTAATTTTTCCAGTGCCATGGACAGTGTAGCTGTTTTACTGTTTATCCAGTACTCACATGCAAGGAGTTGTTAGTAAACTCTTCTGCTCTCCGCAGGATGTAGATCCTCTCTGGAATTTCCTTTTCCTATCACAGTCCTTGAGAAATAACATGAGCTGTCACTTTCACATAAAAAGGGTTAGAAGGGACATAGAGGGATTCTTCTTATTTTCTAGTAGTTTGTTTCTTTTGAAGGATTCCAGATCATGTTTATATATTTCCTCTTCTTGATTTTTTGAGGTATTGCTCTTCTTACTGCGATTATTTTTGTTTATCCTTTCTCTTAGTTTCCCCTTTTCATTAAGATCTTTCCTTTGTAAGTCTGTTTCATTCACTTTGTTTCACATATCCACGTGGTTGTTCCAATACCAGGCATCCCATTCTGTTTTCCACTTCCCAGAGTCCTTCTTGTTGGCAAGATTTGGACCATTTCATAATATTTTTAAACCAACCCATCTTCTTCCATGCTTGTATTCAAGATTCTTGTGTATCAAGATCATGTGCTATATTTTTTTGAAGAAAAATATATGAAATTATTGCAGAGTTGAATTGGATGTGTTTTTTTTAAATTTTATAGATGCAGATACTCATAAAATTGTACCTTCAGTGATGTCAAAGATTAAATGAAATTTGATAGTTTCTATGTTAATGTAGAACAAAATTTTGCTCACACTAACAATTTGGAGATATTTTATTTCTTAGAATTTATTTTTGCAATATAAATTGGTCGGTTTTATGTTGATTTGAATTTCTATATATCTCTCACATCTAAAATAAAAATTCACATTAAAATTCATCTATGAATTGCTATTGTTTATATTCATTTTTATGAAATTATAAAATGATTTCCTGCATAAAACATAATCATTTAAGTGATTTAACAAATATTTCATATAGACAGTAAATTAGAGATTTTTCTCTGATGTTGAAGTTTTCATAAGGCTATAACATTTTTTAAAAAAAATTTTGGTGCCAAAAATCTAACTTGGGACCTTTCATTTGCAAGGCAGGCAGCAGAACCACTGAGCTAAATCCCTGACCCATAAGACTATAATTTCATTTTAAAAGTAGGAGCCCCTTTAGCATACAGAATTATCGTAAGGATCAATTTGCCTCTTTCTGTTGTGGTAGCTGGATTACACCAAAACAGCAATTTGAAATCCCATAACGTATTTGACCAACTATTTTAGTTTTGACTATAAAGTTTAACAGTTTAAGTCCTTCATGTCACAACCATGTCTTTGTTTTGTTTCATTTAGGGTGGTGATTGTACATAAAGCTGCAAACATACCGGGTGAGTATTCTCATAAGTGAGCTACATTCCTAACCCCTCAATCATATTTTCAATGAGAAAAACAAGAAAAAAATCCTCACACCTAAAAACATTAATTTCCTCAATTTCTTTCATTATTTAAATAGACTTAGCTTTATATTTTAATATCTATTGTAACAATGAATTTTGAAAAAATATAAAAAAGGTGGATATAAGCTTTATTCATATGAGAGACGTTGGCTATAGCTCACTGTGGACAGATGGTTAATGAATGCTTTTACTCTAGGATTCTGTGGTAACTCTCATTCAAAGTGAGAGCCACTTCCTATTTTCGTACACAACTGGAAGCTGCCATGGGACAGTGACAGTTAGGAGCAGCAGGACCTCCAGGTGTGTCTCTGTAATTAACTGACTGTGGAATGTTTATATCAGGAATTCACGGAGGTATCTTTTTATCTAACAGTAAATACACCTTGGACGTATTATTTTCTAAATAAATAAATAAATAGCCGATTAAAATAAAGTCAGTATTTGAAAGAAGAAAAAGAACCATTTCAGGCAGGCCTCAAAAGAAGCATTAGTGTAATAGTATCTGACACAAGATATTTATAAAACTGTGGAGCAAGACCTCGAAAATGAAACACACACTGATGAATGATTTCCAAAACCTTAGGTCAGAGGATAGCTGAAAGGTAGACTTGTTAGGGAAAGGGCTTCTCTTTATTTTCTACTTCTTTCATAATTAAATATCTCTGAGCAATAGGAACATAAAATATAAACTGCATATTTGGGGCCCTTTTTATTTCTTAAAAATCAAGCATGTCAAGTGGGGATTGTTGGTTTCTAAGAGGCTAAAAATCCCATTTGGTTTCACCTTGTGTGGCTGGAGAGTGTTACCAACTCAAAAAGTGATGCAAAATGGGGGTTTGGGTTGCATGAATATAGTATGTATTTGCAAATATTCAATACAGAGCCTAATGAGATCAATAAGAAAATTACTCCAACTTCACCTTAAGCAGTCTAGACCAAATCCTGGTCATAATTAATCACTTTGCTGCAAATGACCAAGGGAATGGCCATCTAATATAAAAATTTCAGTATTTAAAATTATGATTTTTTCAGCATAATTTACAATTTTATTAATTTAATTGTCAAGCAAAAATATATGTATATAATATTGTATGCAACAAGATGTTTTGGTATTTAAGAAAATAACTTCAAAATTTTAAATTAGTTATGTAGAAGTCATCATTTTATAGAACGGGTAATGCACTAGGTAAAAGGAAAGATCTTAATGTATTTAAGAGATATCTAATGTATCTACGGAGATAATTGCTGTAGATAGTACAAGTATATACATTTTAAAAGTGAGGATAGAAAACCAAAGAAGGTAAATGGATATTTCACACTCACATAGTCAGGAATTTTAGTTTACTTAATAAACAGAAAAGCAAGAGTGGTACTGGTGCTAGATTAGACCCAGAGAGAAGAAGGTGATATGTCTTCATTTTTGAATTGTATGTTTGTTTTCTTTTCTTACCTCATAGCAAATACTAAAGAATAATCCTGGCTAAAATTATATAGAAAAAATATAAATATGTCTTTACTTCTACCCTTTAACAAGCTATTTGATTTTTCTTCTCTCCCTATGCTATGTACGTATGTGACTATGACTGACAATCATCACAAATATAATTTAAATGTCAATATTTAGCAATTTTTATAGCTTTCTGCTCATATTTTTCAACTTTGATATTCAGAAAGCTTATACTATAATGAAAATAAAAAAACTTGTAAAATATTTGTTTAATCCCTTTTTAATAGAACCGACTAAAGATGATTAAACATGAGAAATGCAATGAATATTAAACACATAGGGAAAAACATCTCTGTCACTGGAAAGCATAAAAAACAGAGTTAATACATTAAAATGGCAAAAATGAAGTGTCATTTCACATACAATTTATACTTCATATACAGTTTAAAATGTGATTTATTTTTTTAAATGGTACAGATAATAAAAGAGATTTTGTGAGTGATATTCTTAATATTTGGAAAAAAAAATCTACTTTCTTAACTAATTTGACTCAATCAACCGAGTAAGTTGCATGTTGAATTCTATCTGTGGCTGAAATGACTGGTTCAAAGACTAGCTTACTCAAATTTGGCAAAACAGTAGATTTGGTTACATTTGAATTGATAATTACTCTTTGATATGATTGACAATGTCAGCTAACATATCTGGAGTTTTTACTTTAGTGAGGCATTATAAAGATTTTTTGTATCACTTACTAGCTCTTTTAATCATTGTACCAAATGTATTTCATAATTACTATCAATATCCACCTCCAAATATGAGAAAACTGAAGGCATTTGTGAGTAGAATTCATAGCATAGACTTTCCTGGTTCCAGAGACCCTACTCACCAACATGGCACATTAATGTTTCATCCTGTCATAAACTGAATTACTGATACAACACTACGGTGAGAGTTGCTTCTTTTAGAAGTGGCGTGTAGTGTGCACTCTGTGCTCTTTGCTGTCAGAATGTCTCGTTTTTTTATCCCTAGGTCTTTCATTACTATCCATGCAATTAAACTTTCTGAACCTCATCAATAACACAATGAAAAAATGTATGCAGTATTAACCTTGGAACTAGGGATATGTTATATAAATATTTATTGAGTAAATTATTAAATTTCTTTATGATTTGGGAGGACAAAAATGGTCAGTTGATTTTGTATCAATATCATCCCTACAATCATGGTAATTCATAGAGGCACCGACAATGACTATAAGGTTAAAATTAACATTTAGCAATTAGATGTGTTACCTTATTTCTCACAACTACTCCTTGAAATAGGTATCATTATTGACCAATGACTAACGAAGAGCTATGGTTTTCCCAATTTTGCAGTGATTGAAAGCAGTGATCTGTCAAACCACATAAATCCGCGGACCTTCGACTGACCAGATCCAAACAGCCAAACACTAGAGGAGCAGGATCTTAAAGGCTGAGAAAAGATAATGCCAGCACAGTCTTCCTTTCTTCCTTCTACTCTGGAATTTTAAGTCCTCTATAGGCAGTTTTTAAAATAAGAACTGTTGTATTGATATCTCAACAAAAGCCTCTTTTTCATTCCCACGTCTTCACTAAAATAGTTTCCAAGAAGAATCTTGTTGATTCTAAAATCACTAAATGTTTTCCATTTTTTTATATTCTTTGTATTCTCTTGGCATTTGACAATCTCGATCACTTTCTGAACCAGCTCCTTTCTGAATATCGTATTCTTCTGTTCTTGCTCTAGTATCCTTGTCTTGTCGTATCTTGGCATATTTCATAGACATTTCTCCATTCATCCCTTTGTAGCCATAAGCTGTGCACCGAGCCATTCCCTCAGGTAACAGGCACTACACAGTAGTGGATCAGCCTCTGACCTAAATGCTGAATATCACGCTTGCTATGGCTTTCGTTCTTTATATCCCCGTACTGAGAAAAATGCCTGGCACAGAGATATTTTCAAGGATTATTTGTGCAATAAAGGAAAGAAGGAACATGTTAGAAAAATTAGCCATTGGATATATGAGCAACTGAGGCATATGCAAAGACAAGGAAATGAATCACTTAAAGTATAGATTAACAGAATAAAAAAAGAAAGAACACATATTTTTGGAAGAAGTATACACTACGACACAGAGCAGAAGGAAAAGATAAGGTAATGGGAAAGTTAACGGCCCCCACAAAGGCACAGGGAGGCAAAGACTGAATTGTCATAGCTACGGTGGCCAAGGGTCTCATAATTACAACGTCATAACAAGGAAAAGAAAAGCATTTATTTCTCATTGATTTGTTCAAAAATAATCTCTCTAATTCATTGGTTAAAATTTATGTCCTCAGCATTATAAGAGATTCTCAAAAAAATAGTCTTGAATCTTTTTGAAGATCTCTTACTACATTTTCCTGCTGTGAAAATTGTTAGAACACAATATTTTATTTCATTAAGTTTATTGGTACATTTTAGGTACACAGTGCAGTTACATTCATCGTTGGGATCTTGTACCCTTACATAATGTTAGCGGTTCTTGTTTCTCCCTCATACCCCTGCCTTCCCTTCACCCCCTCAACCCTTCCCTATTTAGAAAGACTTCGTTTCCACTTTTTTCCTTTTCTCATATTTTTCTTTCCCTTTCTTTCTTTCCCTTACCTTTTCCATTTCCCCTACCCCTTTAGCCCCTTCCTTCCAATTTCACACTACCAGTTATACAATTTGAACCTTATTTACACTTTTAGATTTCAAACCAGAGAAACAATTTGGTATTTATACATGCGTGTCCAATTTATTTATTTTAAGAGTATGGCATTAAGACATACCCATTTAGCTCTAAATGTTTCTAGTTTCTCATTCTTTATAGCTGAGTAGTACTCCATCTTATAGAAAAATCACATCTTTATCCAGTCTCCAAATGATGGGTAATTGGGCTGTTTCCCAGTTTTAGCCACTACAAACTGTAGCACACAATATTTTTAAAGATGATATATTGCATATTGTACATAAATCTAATAGGAAAAATAATGCAAATATGTAAAATAAACATGGTGTGTTATTTTTATGAACTACTTGTATTGTTTTTATCTCACGCTCAACTTCTAGCCTTCAAAAAATCACAAAGGCTACAAAACCTGTTCTAGGATAATTCGTTGAGGCTAGTTAATCAGGCCCTATAGATGAATGGATCTGCTGTTAAAGGTCTCCCCTTTTCCTACATCACTTTGTAATCCAAGAAACACTTCCAAAGTTGATGTGAAAGACACTTAACCAAAAATTGTAAAAACAGTTACTCCTCAAAGTTTCCATTCTATTTAATTACTTCAGGAAAAACAAAGTCTGCATAATACCTCTCCCTCTTAGTTTCTTTGGCTGCTCTCCAAAGTATAGCTGTCAGCTAGTGTTAACTAAAGCAATATGAGCCATGGCCAAAGGCCCACTGACTGTCAGTCATGTGGATAAGAATATCGCCCTGCATCAGCCCTACTAATGTCAAAGATAAGGACCATCAGTATAATTATCTTCAGTTTTGTGCCCAAAGACTGAGTAAAACCATCAGGAACTGTTAGAAAAACCAACACAATAAGTTCATTCAGGAACATTAACAAGTATCTTATCCAAATCCCATCTTTTCAAGGAAATATGTTTTGATTAACATAATCTACCATCATTTACTTGGCCATGTCAACCTATGTTTATTCATGTTTTATACTGTAACTATGGTTTAAAAATATAATCATTTATGTGCGTATTTGATATAGAATATATTTTCTATTACCTCATTTAGACTGTAGCTTAATTAGGGATAAACTTTCTCTCTTAAAATCTTTACTCAGTTCTTTTTAGAGTGCCTTCTCTCCTTAACTTTCTTAGAGTATTTGCTAAATTAAAAAATCTTATTTATGATTATCATATATGTTTAGTCTTTTAAATTTTACACTTGATCTTAAGCAAAAGTCATAGAAATGATAACATTTCAATCACATCATTTCCTTCCAATATTCTCAGCAAAAACAGCCTAAGGAAGAGATAGGTTGTCCCTTTCTATATGTCATCATTATTTATAATTATAAAATTGTGAATAGGAGTATTGATTAATACATGTTAAACAGCACAGTATTATGTTCGTATTCAGTTTCATAAACTCTTATTTTCATTTGTTAGTACATTTCTATTTTCAGTTAATACTAATGTATCATAATAAGAATTGGATCTACAATTATATGTTTTTTATTAAATATTTATTATACTAGAATCTGTGTCTGGAATTTTCTTAATCAAAAGCCAGAGTACTTTGGTACAGAAGAGTAAATTCACAATGTGATTTAATTTTGCTCATCAGTGTGACTGGCCTGAGAGATGTGTTGGAGATTAGTAAAGCACAATTTTCGGTATGCATGTACAAAGTGGGACCATCACCTTAAGGACAATATTTGATGGCTGACCCCTTCTCTGGTGCTCTTTTCCACCCACTGTGTTTACTTGTATCCCTGACTTGAGAAGATTTCAATTGCCACTTCTCTTTACTATGTTTCTGCTTTGCAACCAGCTGACCATGGATGGGAGCCTTTGAAACTCTTAGTCAAAATAAAGCTTTACTTCTTTAAGTTGTAAGTGTCCATATTTTTCTCACAGTGACAACAGAAAATTGACCACTATGCACACAAAAATCAGAAGTCACCAAAAAATATGAATTATATTTAAATAATATATATCTACTTCTAGTTATAAAACTCTATAATTTTAGATATCTTGGGATATGAAACAATGCATGCTACATCTGGCTATAACTTTTATAATATAACACACTCTACGATAACAATAAAATACTTTAAATGATCAAATATTTTTAATATATAAAGACAAAGGTGCATATTTTACAAAACTGTAAACTCACATATTTGATGTTGTCCAGGATTCCTATGGTAATCATGAGGCTTTTAAACATTTATAAAGACATTTTTTACTATAGTATCATTAAAATTGGTTGCAATGGGTTTAGTAGCTGTCCACTAAGTATCAAACTTAGTATGTATGAGGCACACACACAGTGAACAGACACCTCAATTTAGTATGTGGTTAAATATTTCCTTTCTTTTTTTGTGCTCTCTTTGGGTCATATCAGCAACTTTCTGATAAAATATATTCAATAGCTGCTTGGGACACTTCATTTTTTCTGGGCTTTGGTTTCTGTAGAAGCAATATATGATTTGTCCAACCCTACTTGCCTTGTGATAAACCGGGAAGTTGTACCCTGGCTAATGGTTCACCAGGTAGCTTGGTCAGAGGAAAAGTAGAAAATAGCAAGTTAAGTCACATGTCAAATACATAAAAATGATAGAGTTTGAAAAGTCCTGCTTTAGTACTTACATGGAACACTTCTTGACACTTGGAAGTATATCTGGGCATCTACAATTATTTATTTCTTTTATTGTTGAATGAAATTTTATTTTATTATTTCACAAAAAAACATCTTGGATTTTGAAATGCCATTTCCAAAGAACTTGGCAATGTTCAAAATTCTTGTTAATTCAGATATGGCAATTATTTGGTTATGTTTTATATACTTCAAACCTTTTTGTGAATTTTTCTGTTTTAGGAGAGTTCAGTGCTATGTTGTAGGCCACTCTACATTGGCTTGCAGGTTACTGATGCAAGTTTTCTTGATTTTTTCTTGAGTAAATTTTTTTCAGTGTGTTGTACTTTGTATACTTTTTATGACTTTTTCTTCAAGTTCAGTACATCTTCAGCAATAATAACAATCTTCTAATAACTACGTGCTTTATATTTTTCATCCAACATGTTAGTTTAGATTCATGAAATATCAGTTTGGGTCATTTTTATATATTTCATATTCCTAACAACCTTTTATCTCTCTACTAGTCTTTACAGTTAATATAGCAGCTAATACAGTTAAAAAAGCTGTCTTGAGTTTACATTTCTGCTAATGCTCCTACAATTATGAATAAGTTTCAGTTCATTGATCTATCTAATCATAGATCAAATCACCATTGATTCTTTTGTGCCAGGTATTTTTTTATATTGGATGGAACACATTGAATATATTACACTATTTATTGTTTTATACTTTGTATTACTATATATGATTATTAAGCTTTGTTATGGGATAAAGTTAAACTACTTGGCAGCAGTTTTATCTCTTTCAAGTCATATTATTACAGTTTGTTAGGTGGAACCACAGCAACGTTTTATTTAGAGATATTTATTGCTCCTATAAACACCCTTCTGAGAATTCAGAAAGTTTCATATATGCACATTTTCTAAGTGTGCTCAGTGGGAAATTACTATTCCTCACCCAGTGTGAGTTTGGATATTGCATGTCTAATCCTTTTATTCTTTCCTTGATTTTTTGTTTCCTTACATACATATTTCATGTTTTATCTTGAGGGAAATGCTTAGCAACTCTTTGGAAATTCCTGTTTGATTCCTAGATACTTCATTTTTTGGATGCTATTGTAAA